CCGTCCCACCCCCTCAGTGGAAACTCTGACAGCTCTTTCGACACTTGACTGCTTTCCAATAAACACTTTGGTCTAACTGATAGAGGGCCCTGGAATGTCATTCGGATGCTCCACGCTGGGTGGAGAGGAAGGGGCCACACCAACGGTCTGGGCCAGATACCATCATGCTCAGGATCCATATTTTTCAAAAGTGAAAGATTCATCAGTGGAAGAGAAAGCAAAACACACCTTTCAGGTCTGGCCCTAAAGATGCTCTTTCTGAATAACCTTTTGCAGGTGGTGTTTTTTTCAAGGCTGTGGCATTAGGAGTGGCTATTCACTGGCTCTCACTGCTGCAATGTGACAGAACTACACATCCCCAGAGCTGCCTGTTATGGACCTGCATGAGTCACTGCTCTGGATTTGCTGCCTTCCAATCTGATGCTAGTTTATATGCCCAGGTTGTGCAGAGATGAAGAGGGGAGCAAGAGAGCTTCTTAAAACAGACAAATCTTTCATTCGTCCAACAAACATTTTACATTTCAGTTTGACTGTAAATATTCTCAGGATTTCAGTTTGATAACATTTGGTTTTAATAGACTAAAAGTCTCTAAAACCTACCTAACCTGAATCTTTGTTCTCATTTTAATAAGATTGAATGTAAAATAACACAAAAAAATCGGGATATTACTTATTATATGACCTGGCAATTCTGTCAATATAGCTAAGTGTGCCTGGGCTCTCCTGCCCTCCCCCCCATACAGTACTTGCCATGCTTCTGGCAAACAGCCATCTGAACAAATTCCATTTGAAAGGACCCCTGAATGGCCTCTAGCAGCATTTCTTCCTTTCCACTGTCCAGAACTGGAGCAAAGAGAGACAGATTTTATTCTTAGGAGCTTGAAGTCACATTCTACAGTAGGGTTTGGACCATCTGCCTGGACAACAGGAGGCACTGATAGGAGAACAACTGTTGACTTGAAACCAGTAAGAAGTACCAGAAAGCACATTTTCAGTAAAACTCCACTTCCCTCAGTAGAAAAATGGCTCACTCAAAATGTGAGGCCCTGAACTGGAATTTACTAACAGTTGTCAAGAGCAGAAGCTGGGACTCCCTTGGAAAAGCCACCTGTAGAAATCGGCATGTTCAGCTTTAGTCATATGTAGCTAAGGCAGTCCTGATCTTGCCCCCAAGAGACAGTACCTTAGTGTAGAGGGGCAGCTTTCCAAGACAGCACTCAAGTTCAGCCATGTCCTTCTGTGAATTAAGCCCAGAAATGGCTGCAAATGGTTTAATGTCTAACTAGAAGGGGGCAACCATTTTATAACAAAACAATTTTTTCCTTGGAATTAAGAAAGCATCTGCACAAGGCTTAACTATGAGTGTTAAATTCCACACTGTAGTTAGAGAGCATTAACACTGCCAAGTGCTTCTCCTGGAAAGCAATTCAAGATGCATCCTGCCTCAGGGCTTAACTTTCCAGATTCCTGGCAGTTAAGATCCCAAACCCTCCCCAAAACCCCTGTTGACTGCATCAGAGGAGGGCAAGCCAATCTACCAATAAATACATCTTTTCAGGATGCAGAAGCCTCCTTGAAGTAACCAGGTAATCATGGAAAGACACAGCTACTTTCACGAGTTGCAGATAAGTGCTGTGCTTCTGCTCCATGCATTCCAAAGTTCCTCTTCCTGATCAGATCTACTCCAATTCATATATTACCTTTATTGTCCTGCCCTAATGTCTATATACCCCTTACTGAAGCAGAAAGTTTTACAGTAATTCAAATGGTAATAAATGTTTAAGTCATAAATGCTGCCTAGCATTTCAGTTTCCAAAATGCATGCAAGGAACTTGAGAATGGCAGTCAGGATGGAGCATTAATACATGGAGAGCTTTGAGCTCATATGGTATGTTGTAATATCTGAACGTTCCTTCGAATCCAGAGAATAAAGCATTTTTTGCTATTGAAAGAAAGACAGGAAAAATGTAGAACACCACCTTTTATTACAAATACTTTTATTCAGAATAAAAGTGATTGTTGGAACACACAAACAACACAGAAAAATATTTACAGTGATAGACAAAAGCATGACAACATCTTGTGTCATCAGACCATTTCGAATCAGTTTTTTGTTTTCTAAAGAAATCATTTTTGAATACAATGGAAAGAAATGCAAATACATTTTGCTGTCAGATTAGAACATCTCATCCTCTGACGACTCTAGATACTGAATTGGCTTCCTAGCCCGACTTGGTTTTTCACGGGCTATGGCTAGAGCAGGTAAGTCCTCATCGGAGCTCAGTTCAATGGCAAATGATTCATCCACCTTCTTGGATTTCTACAAAGCAAGAGTGAAGAACAATAAACTCTCAGGACAGCTCCATGCCTAGCACTGCAATCTTCTGCATAAGGAATGCCACAAAGAATTATAATGCTCCAGGAGTAGTGTGGTGATATTCAGGAAAAGGGAGCTAAAGGAAAGGGCAATGCTAACTGACTCGCCATCACTCCGTGTCATGCTCACGATCACACAGTTTGTGCCTTTGTTGGGCACTAGGAGATGAAACCCATTGTGAGATACATCCGCTCACCAAACAGAAAAGAAGGAAGACAGGCAGCAGCTTTGGGGGAAGGCTGTACACCAAAGCAACCAAGTCATTTTTCAAAGAATTCCACAGAGCTCTAATAATTCTGCTCTGAGCTGGTGAGAGCCTGCCTGCTTGTTTTCAGCGTTGCTGTGATGGGCAGACAGGACAAACCAGAGCTTTATGTATCGGATTAAAAAGCTCTGAAGTAGCACTTGGCTCTTTGTCTTTGCTTTACAAAACCTTAAGGGGTGGGGAAAGACTTCTGGTTTACGTTATAAGCATCTGAGCTATAGAAATGTATTAGAATATTGTGACATTACTTTTCACAGGCTTTAAAAAAAAGTTCATTTTGTTGCACCATAGAAAGCCCCTACTTAATTAGTATAAGAAACTCAAGCAAGTTATTTGCCTCAATAAATGCTGTTTTTGACAGAACTGCCTGAACAAGATATAACTATCTTAAATATGCAAAAAAGTTGTGGGCCCAATAAAGGAGGTTAACCTAGGGCATCTTTTAAAATTACTTGAAAGATTAGAGGTAGTGGTGAGGATAGGAATAGGAACAAGCCAACCTTAAGTGTTGTTCTTTTTTTAAGGCACTGGCCAAAGTCTGGATCAGAGTCTTCAGAAGTACACGATGAGGATGGCTTCCTTTTGGTGGCTTTCTTTGCCTTGGCAGGTGGTGCCGGCTTTTTGGCGGCAACTTCATCTGTACTGGAACCTGAATTCTTAGCTGCTGCTGCCTTGCTGCGTTTGGCCGTTGTCTTTTTCTTAGCAAAAGCATCCTGAATAGAAGGTTGGTTGTCTAAGAGGAAAAGAATCAGATCTTTGTCAGCACCACACCTTTAGCCTTTTTCTAGCAAGAAATACTGACAGCAGCTTTGGAAGTGCTGATTCCTAGTGGAGGAAGATATCCTGAAAACTAGGCGGCACCTCCCACTAGATAATAAAAGACCCCAAACGATCCTTAGAATGGGAGGACGTACACTTCTGTTCCAACTGCACCCCTGCTAATTTCTGGTACACACACTCTGAGGCGTTGGATATTCGACACAATGATGTAGAAATGATAGAAAGGGGTTCCCTTGTACCTCTGGGGAATCAGGAAACATAGGACCCCCTCTCCTTTTCGCAACAATTAGATGGAGGCAATTCATTCTTTCTTCTCCTATTGACACTAAACATATAATGCAAATTAGGTAAACTATCATTGCTGGACATGGGCTGCTTCATCCCAGGACTCTCCATCGCTCTTGGTTCACAGGAGGGTCTTCTTCGCCTCAGGAGCAGCCCTCAAATATTATTGAATGCCTCTTCTGAGGAGCTACAAAGGGGAGCACTCGCATCTTAACAAGGTTTTTCTTACTTTCAGTGGAAACTGAAGCAGGGAAGTTTAGACTGAAGATTGAACACCACTGGCCCAATCTTGATTCTATCCCCAAATTCTTGCCTAATAAATGATGGTAGAGGATAATTGTTTGCAGACTCAAAATCGATATTCCTTTGTGCACAGCTCTGCATGTTCCAGACAGTGGCATTTTTACTTAACTACATCAAGCGCTTACCTATGCCACCCCTTCCCCAACAGAAATAGGGGGTGCAAGCTCCTCCATGAAAATGGGAGTATAATTTCTGACAAAATGGAATAGGGCTGGGACTTTCTCTTCCATGGGGAAACTGTTCAGCCCACTCCTCCCTTAGAGCTAAAGGATTTGATGAGAAGAGCTATTTATCTTATATGCCCCCCCCCAATAATATGTGAGAAACCTGGAGATTTCCTTCTGCGAGAAAGTTTTTCCATGTCAGTATATTGCCTGCCTAGATCCTAAAAACTGGATGGAATTTCCAAGGGCAACAGCAACAGAACCTGCTAGGCCCTGTGATAGGCTGCAGTTCAATCAGCTAAACAAAAGGCATCCGTTGCTTTTTTCCTTGGTTTGAACCTCATAAACAAGAAGAGTCGCCCATTTATATTTGGGAAGGTACTGCTCTCTCATCCCTCCCATTCTCTCCCGCCCCCAGCTTTGATAATTTTAAGATCCTGTTATCTGCCCTTGGTACCACAGTCAATAAACCTTATACTTTATGTTAACACAGCAGATGGCAACTCAAGTCAATCTCTGATTATTTCTGCCCATCCACTAGATCACATAGGATGGGCATGCTCCAGGTCCCCCCTGAGGCAGTGTAATCTAATGGGACCTAGAAGATGTGCCTTCTCTGTTGCTGTATCTGCCCCAACCCCATGGTTCTTTCATAGAACCATGAAGACCTGCTTTTCTCCGTGGCACTGGGCCAGATAATAATTGAGCCCATTCTGCAGTGAGAACAAATACTTGCTATGCTCAGCCCCAGCTATGTCTGTGAGATTGTGTTTTATTATATTAGCTTCATATTATTTTGATTGTTTTTTTATTGGATGTTTTTTTATTGGATGAAATCTGGAAAACCAAAAATCAGGGTTTCAGTTTGGCCAGACTGTGACTCACCCATAACAGTTTAGTGAAACTCTTCTTTCGCAATGCATTTATTCTGTGCATGAAGCAAAACAATTTTTCCAGTTTGTATACAACTGGAATAAATTTCACCTCAGTTTTAAGAGTTAAGAAGTCCTCCAACTTTTTCCAGAGTTTCAGGACTACCACTTGAAAAACACCATAATTACACACCACAACAGTACTTGGTGTCCTCTAAATTTATTTTGGCTTATTGGAAGCTTTGTCACCACACATGCTCTTTTACCAGCATCTTGGGGGTGGACATAATCAGTATACACGTGAAATTGTAATATAGGGAGCATATGCCTCAAATTTACAACTAAGTTGCCTTCTATTTTTGTTTTGTTTTGTTGGGAAAGTAGGAAAATACTTTTACACCCGATTAAAAAAATGTGTAATCCAGCAATAGGAAGGAGTTACTGGGGAATTCCCTCCATTGACAGCTGAGTGCATATATTCAAGGATGTCATTAGCATTTGATCTGCATAACTTCTCCACAGTGCTGTTCTCATACAAATTAAATCTTGCACATTATTCTCCTTCCACTAGCAAAGTATCTACAAAAAGGAGACTTCTCTGCAATCCTTGGTCTCAAGAGTCAAGGACCAATGAAAAAAGAAACATCCTCTGGTGTATTTTTCAACAAGAGATTATTTCCTTACTATCAAACTGATCCAGAGGAGCAAGTAGGATGGGTATGGCTTGTCCTCTTATCTAATAGTGTATCTGGTTTTTATTTCTACAGGCTTTTGCATAGCTGAGCAAAACAGTGTATATTGCTATATATACTGTTTTAAGCTGTGGTTAAGTTTTTGTTCAGTTCTATGCCCCAAAACAATCAAAACTCATTCCTGTAGGTTACAGGAGTGGATATACAACATACATCTCATAGGAGCATACAAGCATACAGGGCTTTTGTTATTTTGGATTATATTGAACTCTCTTAAAATCCATCAGAATGCATTTAGACAGAAAACATTCCAGACTTCAACTGCCTCTCTTCTGTGTTTCACCTATTGCCTGCAGCATCTCAATTAACATTTACTGGAGATATTTTCAATGTAGTGTACTCCCACCCACAAGATGATTGCACTTCTAGGCTTTGACAAGTCATCTTGCCTAGGGATTCCTTTCAAGGAAATTCCAACTCTGGTTGCTAGTATTCATTGTAGCCTTTCCCCCCTACTTCTTTCCCCTGTTGTATGCCCCACAGTGTCTGTCTAAGGATTGGGGTGGGCTCTAAAACAAAGAAACGAGTGAACAATTAAATAGGATCGACATTTTACTGGGTTATTTCAACCTAGCAGCTGGAAAGCCATTTTTTAAAGACTGAACCACCATTCAATGGTTCAATCTTCTTAGCTCCTGTTCAGAAATCACCTTCTGTTTTGAAGTGGATAGAGCATATCCCTCCCTTCTTGGTAAGACAATTTTTTTGCTATAGAGGACTATTTTCATACATCTACAAATGTTTTACTCCCATCTACTGAAAAACTGTGGAAAGCAACCCAGTTTTCAGGACACCCACCATCTTTTGTAGAACCCCCCCCCATGCTAAATTCAGTGTGATGTTCTGATGATGACCAAAGCATAGTACTGTTAATTACATCGCACAAGCTAGACTGTAGTTGATCAGAGCTTTTTTCTTATTGCTCCTGCATATAAAATACTGCATTATTTTCTGCAGGCTATGATTCTTTCTTCCATAGGGCAGTCAAGTGAAGTTTCTCTCAGCAAGGTCAGATAAATGTGGAATTTAGCTGAGAACACAACTTCCTGAATGCCCACTTCCAAGTGTGTAAACATTGGTAACAGTCTTACCGACAGCTACATTTGTTTTCTTGGTCAATGCTCTCTTTCGGGGAACAGGTTTGGGTGGCACATCAAGAGTGGCAAGAAGGGAAGAGGCTGTTGTAGCTGGCTTCGTCTTTTCTTCGTGTTCCTCAGAGTGAACTTGAACAAAGAAATGTCCCAATCAACAAAAAGTGTTTTGACTACTGCACTATATGAATCCATGAGCTGAATGATAATCCCCACAGAAACCAAAATAAACATGCGCGCACGCACACACAGATACATATAGCAATAAATACCAGGGCAGATAAGTTTTTCTCCTCATATGTTCACAATGGTTCTCACCATATGAAAGTCTGGATAACAACTCCAGCAAATAGCAGCAGAGATCAAATAGGCACAAGTTATGTCAGAGATTTCCGGGGGGAGGCATAGCAAACTGAAAACACCTCTGTGAAAGCAGAGCTGACAACTGCGGCAAAGGCCAAAGAACCAGTGAGTGGACCTGTGCTTCGGAATCTCTCTGGCTAAGGAGAGGACGGGAGATTGCCCACAGGGCTGCTCCTCGCAAGGAAACAGCAGGACAGCGGTCTTCTGCAGGTCTGCGTGCTGGGAGACAAAGGGATTAGCCATCTTGCTCACAACTGCAGTGGAGCCTTTTAAATGACACTAAGTTTGCAAGCCTCACTTTCTAATCACTTTTGAAATTGCCTATTAACCACCTTAAAGCTATTAGAGACCTTCAGAATGACAAGCTTGAAAAGTTACCAGGTGAGTCTAGCTTCAACTCTGAATAAAAGAAAAATTAATTACAAGCTTAAGAACTTAAAGAATTTGAAATAAACAGCAAAAAGCTAAAAAAGATTTTGATCTAAGAAAGTTACAAATGGATTAAGGGTCCAATGCTTCAACTCTGAATAAAAGAAAAATTAATTACAAGCTTAAGAACTTAAAGAATTTGAAATAAACAGCAAAAAGCTAAAAAAGATTTTGATCTAAGAAAGTTACAAATGGATTAAGGGTCCAATTAAATTTAGAATACTGACTTTTATATAAGATTTTGGAATTAACTATAAGAATAAATAGGTCTTGTGGGAACCAGAGTTATTTTGGCTATCTTTGCTCATAACAAAGATAAGTAGGTTTATGATATTAGAAACTGGTCACTAGAGGGGACTAAAGTTTCTAAGTAGAAGGAACAAAAAATACAAGCCAGCTTTTGGTGCCAGTTAACTAGGGCTTACAAAATGACACAAAACGTCATTAACACTGAAAATATTAAAGGAGATTTTTGAAGAATGGAGCCAGAAACTAGTAGCTACAATATCAACAGTGTCTGTAATGATGTCTGGTTCCATGAATAGACTATGTTTAAAAGATGTTAATGAAGGAATGACAGATGTGGAGCAAATTTTGTCTGACAAGACAGAGAATGTACCGAAACTGAAATGAAAGGCCAAGAGAATTATTTGGAAAAGGACGCTTTGTTGAATCTACAAAAGAAACTGAAATTTTAAAAATGAAAGGGGAAATACAAATGACAAACCAAGAGAATGACCTGGAAAATGTTTTCTTACTGGATCTACAAAAGAGGCTTGTTAAACCCTTGAAGAAGTCTATGCAATGGGTTGCTCTTCAAGAAGAATTGAAGAGAAATCAGATCCTACAACAATATTTGAATGAACTAAAGATTAAGACTTGTAACTCTTTATGAACTTTTGCTGACACCAGGATTGAAAAGATGTTTTATGGATTTGCTTATAGATAAGGAATGGGATATGGGATGGAGAGATATCTGTTTCTATCTGTTTCTTATAGGGGGTGAAGAGTTACTAAATTTGTCTGTACTTGTATTGAAGGTTAGAAGTCACTTCTTTATATATTTTTCTTTTTCTTTATCATATTCTTTCTTTTTTTTAAATTTTCTTACTATTCTTTTTCAAGTTTAGTTTTTATTAGTTTTTATTACTGTAATCAAAATCCTTAATAAAAATTTATATATATTTTTATTATCCATTTAAAAATTATATATATATATAAAGTTTCAAAGATCAATAATGAAACCAATGTTAGCTTTTTCCACCCCTGATGCTGAGAGAGAACAATTCTCCTGCTATTAGATGCAGAAAAAACAGTGTGAAAAGGAAAGAAAGAATGAATATTGGAAGAAAGGCTTCCAATGAAAAGCCCTTCTAGGCATTCTTTTCACAGAAGTTGCAGAAAAAAGAAAAGAAAAAACAAAAAGGAACAAATCACAAACATACATACATTAAAAAAAACAAAACAAATTACATAACAAGTGCTTAAAAATGGAAAAAATACAACAGAAAAATAATAATAAAAAAAGAAAATATAAAATGTCATTACAACAATAAAGTTACAATTCTATATATACTTATCTAATGTAAATAGTATGCAAGTATCCATCTATCTATATATCCAATACAGTGTTATAACTATTGTGCTTTTTCCTAAACAACTGTAATTTGTATAAATGAGTCCCATATTTCATTATACTTGTCCATACAAAGTCTACGTCTATTGGCAAGTAGACTGGATTTTCTAGTTATCTTTGCTGTCCCTCACTGGAATGTTAACAATGACCACAGCTCATAAGAAAGAATGTGGAAGAATCAAAACCACAGAATCTGAGAAGCATCATTTCTCATCACTGATATTCTTGCTGTTTCAAATTTTTTGTGTTGCATTTGCAGGGGAGTTGAGTGGGGGAAGCAATTGTCCTAAAAATGCTTCAGGAATTAGATGAAGAAGTACAAATTATTTTGAATCCATCAGTAATACTTTATTTTTTAAACTAAAGAGTAGTGTAGTCCATGATAAATAATAATCCTATATTGGGGAAGATCACAACAGGGTGCCTTATGACAGCACTGGCTATAACACTGCAGACATGTTACAGTCTCAGTTGTGTGGCATAATACCTAGGACTATGTTAGCAAAAGGAAAAAAAATGGTAATGGGTGGGAATGAATTCTTGCTTTTTTAGGCTAAACAGAGATTATAATAAAAATGAGCCATGTGCTCACCCGAGCCAGTGCTCTGTGCTTCTGATGATCTGAATTCTTCAATTTCCTCTTCCTTTGTTTTCCTAGAACATAAAATCATGGATTTACTCTGTATTGGGATCAGCAATGCATGCCACTCCAAACGGGGGGGGGGGGGACTTACCAAAATCAAAAATTGAGATTACAAGTAATCTTAGGATCAGTTTGCCAAAATCCTGCGATTTACTCCATTTTAAAATTATTTTTTTCAGTACTTACACCACTGCAGTGATACCAAGCACCTGAAAAAGTTGTGAATCTCTGTACTGCATTCCATAGTGGGGGATGGGGAGTATAAAACAGAAGCCACTTATTTGTAATATTATGATTAAGATTAAAAATGCCATTTTCCACAGAATATTTAAACAATACATAATGCTGACATCTATCTAGCAGAAACATCAGGATAATAAAATAACAAGGGTTGAATATACTTAAAATAGAAATAGCAAGCCACTTTTGCATGATCAGTTGACAAAGCTGTATGGACCTTAGCTGTGTGAACTCTTCATCAGCAGAATGGAGGAACTGGGAAGGACTATCTCAGTTATGGTGTTTTTTCTGCATGCAGAAGATTCCAGGTTCTAATTCTATAATACCCTTTTGACTTTGGAGATCTAACATCCTGGAAAACTATTGCCTGTCAGCAGAGATAGCACAGGTCTAAAAGGGCAAATAACCTAACCTTGTACATAAGGCAGCTTTATTAAAATTAAAAAGGGAAAATTATTTCTGGTGCTGTCAGCATTTCAATGTAAGTAACATCTCCCCCCCCCCCATGAACTATAACAAATCTTTGCAACACAACAGTTGACACACTATTTTCTCAATTCTGATTAGCCTTAAACTGTTGTCTGTTATCCAGGCAGGTATTTTTTTAAAAAACAATCCAAATAGGA